GAAGAAATAAAACATTTGCAGATGGCCTGATGATTATCTACATAGAAAATCCCAAGGCTGCTTCAAAAAATTTACTAGAACTAACAACTTCAGCAAAGCTCATAAGACATGAGATAAACACACAAAAATCAATCACATTTCTGTATGAACACACAAAATCACATTTCTGTGTATTAATAATGAACATGTGGAAAATGACATTAAAAATACAAAAATGAACCTCTACCTAAACTCAAACCTTATTCAAAAATTAACTCAAAATGGATCATAGATTCAAAACATAAAACTACAAAAACTTTTAGAAAAAAATAGAAAATCTTCAAGATCTAGGACTAGGCAAAGAGTTCTTAGACTTGACATTGAAAGCATGACCACAAGAGCAAAAATTGATAGTTTGAGTCTCATGAGCATTAGAAACTTTAGTTTTGTGAAAACTCATATATAGTGGACTGAATGTGTCCCTCCAGAATTTGTAAGGTGAAATCCTAACCCCCAATATGTTATCAGGAGGTAGGGCCTTTGGGTGATTAGATCACGAGGGTAGAGCCCTTGGAAATGGGATTAGTGCCCTTACAAAAGGGACCCCAGAGAGTTCTCATGCCCTTTTTCTGCCAAGTGAGGACACAGAAGTCAGCCATCTGCAACCAGGAAGCAGACCCTTACAGAATCTGACCAGCTGGCACTCTCATCTTAGACTTCCAGCTTTCAGAACTGTGAGAAATGAATGTTTGTTGTTTGAGCCACCCAGTCTGTGGTATTTTTATTATAGCAACCTGAGCAGACTAAGACTGTATGTGAAACAGATAAAAAGACACACTATAGAATAGGAAAAAATATTTGTAAACCACATATCCAACAAAGGACTAGTACCTGAAATACATAAGGAACTCTCAGAATTCAATAGTAAAAAAAAGCAAAAATATTCCAATTAAAAATGGGCAAAAGACGTGAACAGACATTTTACCAAAGAGGATATAAAGTGGCAATAAGCACATGAAAAGATGGTTCAACATCATTAGATATCAGGGAAATGCAAATTAAAACCAAAATGGGATATCATTACTCACCTATCAGAATGGCCAAGATAAAAATAGTGACACCAAATGTTTACAATGATTCAGAGAAACTAGATCACTCATACATTGCTGGTGGGAATGCAAAATGGTTCAGTTGCTCTGGAAAGAAGTTTGTCAGTTTCTTGTCAAAATAAATTTGCAATTACCATCCAACCCACCAGTTGTACTCTTGGACATTTATTCCAGAGAAATAAAAACTTACATTCACACAAAAACCTGTATATAAGTGTTCATAGGAGCTTTATTTGTAATAGGCAAAAACTGGAAACAGCTCATATACTCCTCCTTCAGTGATGATTAAAACAGCTATGGTATATCCAATACCGTAGAATACTTCCCAGCAATAAAACTATTGGTGCATGCACCAACTTTGATAAATCTTAAAGAGAATTATGCTGAGTGGGGAAAAAAACCAATTCTGACAGATTACATGCTATATGGTTCCATTTATGTAACATTCTTGAAATGACAAAGTTACAAAAATGGGGAACAGTCTAGTGATTATCAACAGGGGATGGGAACTGGGGATTGAATGGGGAGAAGTGAGAGGTGAGTGTGTCTATAAAAGGACAACATGGGGGGACCCATGTGGCAATGGAACTGTTCTGTATCTTGACTGTACCGATGTTAGCATCCTGGCTGTGATATTGAACCATAGTTTTGCAAATGTTACCCTTGAGGGAAAGTGCATGAAGGATACTCAGACTCTGTCTCTCTGATTTCTTACACCTGCACCTGAATCTACAATTATCTCAGGATAAAAAGTTTACTTTAAACACATGGCATTTCATAAACATTCATCAAAATTTTGAGTTACAGGTTGTGATTGATAAAGATTGCCCACCTCCTTCAATGTTGGCCACCTCAAGAGTTTCTTAAGCATGTTACTGAATATTCTAATAATTACCAAAATTGTAAAATACATCACTGAGTATTAAGAATAATTTAATCAGCATTGTAAAAGAATAAACAAATTTGTCTATAGTAAAGGCCAATTTTGGTTGGGAAGAATACACACACAGAAAACAAATCCATGAAGGGAATGGCAGTTGCCCACTCTGATTTTGGGCCCTGACAGAAGGACCAAGGATTCCGCCGTCTGGACTGTCGCGATGAGGCTGACGTTCTCCCACGTCTTTTCTCACAGGATCTCCTCTTCAGCGTGTGCGCCCTCAACGTCCTCTCCACCATCGTGTGTGCATTGGCCACAGCCATGTGCTGCATGCAGATGGTCTCCGCCGACGTCCTGCAGATGGTGAGTGGCCCCTTCCTTCCTGAGCACGCTCAAAATGACGGGCCTGGTCCCCTTCTCATGTAGCTGTTTGAAACTGACTTAGAAATGGGCACCCCCGGCTTCCAGCCAGATGCAGTGAGGACGACGGGCCCTGACAGTCCATGGCACTTGGTGGTGCTTGGAGGTCACCTGTGCTGTCCCTGGAAGACAGACCATCTGAACATGTGGTGCCATTGATGTGTTTATTTTAGGTGTTGTTGGAGCTTTGTGTCAAAAGGTCCTCCCACTGTCGTGTCCTTCTAGAAGGTCCCTGACGTACGTCCCTAAGTAATCGTAGTGAGAGTCCTGCAGCCCTAGACATCCTCTGGGCTCAGCACCTCCAGAGCAAGGCACCTTCCTCAGGCTTCAGAATTCTCTTTTAGTAAAGGAAGTTTAGGATTGTTAGGAAATGAATTCTTTTGTGATTGAAAAGCTGCTAATCTGTGCTTTTTAGATTTGCTAATGAACACTGAGCTCATAATCCAGTGGCCCACCGCCTGCTGCCATCTGGTCCTCTGGCCAAGGTCTTACAGAGGAAGACTTGCTACCCCCAGGGGTCACTAATACACATTATAATACATGGCTTATTAATATGCAAATCATAAATAATGAAGGCTTTTCCTTGTTTCTGTGTGAATGGAACACAGCCCACTATTCAGATGCTACCACTAAACTCAGTACAGTGAAGGAGAATTGATGGGAAGATATTGTCCTTCAATGGTAAGTGTAGGAATCTTTCTCTCTTTCTCTGTCTCTGTGTCTCTTTCTCTCTCTCTATCTCTCAGCTTGCCTCTTTGGGACCTACCCTGCCTCCCACACAGAGGGGTTTATGCATCTTGTTCAAAAAGAGATAAATTGTTCTTATAGTAGGCTTTCGTATGTGTTCTTCTTTCTCATCCACTGTGAACGATTAACATCAGTTAATCAAGATACAGGGCCAGAGAGCATCATTACCACGACGTTAAAAATTCATTGGTCCTAATTGCATGCCGTGCGCAGCCTCTCCTCTTGGTATATATCCACACAGCTGTCACAGCCAGGCTGACCTTTCTGAGAGGTTGCAGTTTTCCAAAAGGTATCTAATTAAGCAGTTATTCAGTAGCAATGAACTTTAGCCCTTGTTCATCAGGGCCTCGTGTTGGTGATTTTCTCCAGCGTGTCATGCAGAGGAAAGGTTAAGTACCAGGGTGTTCTCCTCACCTCAGCAGATTTTACTATTGATCTGTAAATATCACAGCAATTTGACCAAACTAACAAAACCAAAGGGATGTGAATGCTAAAACTTTGCGTTCCCCTGGTTTTAAGCATTAAAATAAAAATCGTCAATTAAATAAGAGCAAAGTATATTCTCGCTGTGATAGTGCATATAATTGTAACGGCAATGTGCAGAGTCACTCTGGAGTTGCGATGTGTGGAACGTGAGCAGACCTGGAGCTGTGGGTCTGAAGTCAACACATCTGAGTCTGAATCCCAGCTCCTCTGTGTATAAAGCAGGTGACTCTGAGTATGTCACTGAACCTGCCTGTGCCTCAGTTTCCTCAACTGTGAAATGGAATTAATGGGATACCTGGTGATCCCTCAATAAGTATGATCTATTTTGATTTGCCTATTCTGAACATTTCATATAAATGAAATGATATCATATATGGCCTTTGGTGTCTAGCTTCTTTCAATTAGCAAGGCTTTTTAGAGGTTCATTCATGTTCCTACATGTACCAATACTGCGTTACTTTTTATGGCTGAACAATATTCCATTGTATCAAGATACCACAGTTTGTTTATCCACTCATCAGTTGATGTTCATATGGATTGCTTTCACTTTTGGCTATTATGAATAATGCTGTTATGAACATTCTTGTACAAGTTTTTGTATGGACGTATGTTTTAATATCTCTTGGGTGTATACCTTGGAGAAGAATTGCTGGGTCATAATGATGACTCTATTTTTGAGGAAACACAAGACCATTCCAAAACAGCGGCACCATTTTACATTCCCATAAGCAGAATATGAGGGTTCCGGTTTCTCCACATCCATGCCAACATTTATCTGCCTTTTAATTGTAACTACCTTAGTGGTGGTGAAGTGATATTTCATCTGGTTTTGATTTGCCTTTCCCTGATGATTAATGATGTTGAGCACATTTTAATGTGTTTAATAGCAATTTGTATGTCTTCCTTGGAGAAACGTTTTTCAGACCCTTTGCCTATTTTAAAAATTGGGTTATTTGTCTTTTTATTACTGAGTTGTAAGCATTCTTTATGTATTTTAGATCTCAATCCCTTATCAGACACATAATTTGCAAAATTTTTCTCCTATCCTGTGGGTTATCTTTTCATTTGACGGTGTCCTTTAAAGCACAAAAGTTTTAATTTGGATGAAATTCAATTTCTCTAGTTTTTCTTTAATGGCTTATATTTCTGTTGTCTTATCTAAGAAACCATTGCCTAATCCAAAGTGATGACGATTTACTCCTATTTTTTCTTCTATGAGTTTTATAATTTTAGTTCTTACATTTAGGTCTTTAGAACATTTTAAGTTAATTGTTGTATATGGCGTGAGATAGGGGTCCAACTTTATTCTGTTCCCAACACTATTTGTTGAAAAAATTAATCTTTCCTCATTGAATTGTCTTGGTAACATTGGTTAAAAATCAATTGTAGATATCTAGGTTTATTTCTGGACTCTCAGTTCTATTCCAGTGATTTATGTCTATCCTTGTGCCAATACCACACAGTC